GTGTACTCCAAGTAGACCCTGAAGTAGCTACCCTACTTTTCCATTTCAGCATGGGCTTTGATCTTTCATGATCTTTTGAATGGTCACGTGAGACCACTGTTACTGTGCTTACAGAAAGAAAAAAAAAAACCCAACATGAAAAGTATAACAAATAAGAATTACTTACTGAGTCAGTGTCATACAAATGAAAATTCATCTCAGAAACTAAAAACTACTTGCCTTGCCCCTTTGGTCATACCACTCCAAATCTGACTGCTGTAGAGCTACAATGGATGTAATAAGGAGAACATCTTAAGAGTGAAACATTAAGGTTAGCGTTATCACATTTTTGACACCAAAAACAGAGCATGACACAGGACTGACAGATGTGTCTGCCCCTGGCCCTGCCCAGATAGCCCAGACTGAGGTGCCTGGCAGTTAATGGAGAGAAATGTGTACTCTTTCCACCTCAGCAGCACCATCAGGACCTTCACCCTTCTTGCTCCAGGAGCCTGCAGCAAATACCTGGGCATTTTCTCTCGGATGGGCAGTTTCCCATCCTCCTACTGTAGATTCATTGCTCTTTCTACTCCATATCTCCTAGTCCAGCCTAACAGTCCAAACCCCACTCTATTTAATTTGTTTTACTGCTCCCTACTCCTTTCATCACATAAATTATTTATCCTCATATATCCATCCCAGAACCCAAAGCATTCCTCTGCCCTTCCAGAGCATCCACTGTCAGCTGGCGCAGCACCGCTGTCACTGTGCCTGCCTTCCCAATGTGCTGCCCTGCATAGAGCATCTCGCTCCTTCCCCCTTCCCATCCCACACTCCGGTCCAGCTGGTTTCTGGAACAACCCATCTCCCACTGCATCCAGCAGAGAAACCTCCACTCCCACTAGGCAGCAGCCTCCTCAGTGAACCTTCCTACACTTGGCAGGGTCTTCAAACCCATAAACAGTAACTGAAAAACTCAAAAAAACCCCCCATCTGCCTGGTTAGAATTTAGATAGCAAAAAAATGAGAACATATTGAAGGGGAAAAAAAAGCCAACAGACAAATAGTAGCCCTAATCCTGACCCTATTCAATTAATGAGAACTTTGCAATTGACTTTAACAAGGATCAGATTTAGCACATAATGTTTCTTTTGAGTTACAGTTTTCTCCCACTCCTGTTTTGAGTTCCTTAATGTTGTGCTTTATATTGTGTACAGGGGGAGCTATTAGTCAGAAAATTAATAAAGCTGCTAAGTAACACTGAATTGTGGAGCAGAGTACATTAATGGACTGATACATCAGCTGTTAATTAACTTGGAGTAACAGTGTTACAAGATAATCTAGCGTTATTATTTCTGACAACACACTGACTACATCCCCTTTTCTTCTCCAGGAGCAGTACCAGTTTCTGTACAAAGCTATCCTCAGCCTTGTCAGCACCAGGCAAGAAGAAAACCCTTCAGCATCTATGGACAGTAATGGCTCAGCTTTACCTGATGGAAATGCAGCTGAAAGTTTAGAATCTTTAGTTTAATTAACACATCGTATTAAACACACACATACCAACATCACACCAGTCACACCTGGAGTTTACGGTTAATATTTTCAGTTTTATACTTGGGGGTGGGGGGAAATCTGTCCAGTCACTATATATATAATCGGATCCCAACCGTTGCTCAAACCAACAGTCACTGCTGTTACCCGTGACTTTACTGGGGAACTTTTATTATTAACAATGTGTGCCTTTTCTTGAAAGATTTCTTGTAATACGTTGTTACGTCTGGACTAACTTGATTGACTTTTACAGTGTTTCTAAGAATTGAATTGTGGTATGTTTTTTCAGTATTAGTTTTTGGGTTTACTTTTAACTTAAAATTATCATATTTATAGATTTTAGGAGATTCTCAATTACAAACATGTCATGGGTTTAGTATTTGATTTATTTGCTGTATTTATAACAATTTACATTTGCTAGAAATACAACTTTTAATATAGTAGAATGTAAATAAAATACTGTTCTCCATAACATTCAACATTTTAAGACTTCGGTTAGACTTTCAGAATAGTAATCGGATACTTACTGTAAATACTGCTACTTCTGTAGTGACTCCATGGACCAAATTTATATTTATAATTGTAGATTTTTATATTTTACTACAGAGTCAGTTTTCTAGTTCTGTGTAATTGCCTTGTTAAAATTATATAGTCCAGTATGTTTTTATTTTAACAAAGTCTTCTGATATATAATTGTGCATCTCAAGCTATTAACCTTCATATAGCTGCATGTGATTTTAACTTTTTGTGAAGAAATAGAAATCATTTGTTTTGAAATGAGAAGTTTTTATGAGAATAACACCTGTACTTGGCATTGTTAAATTGTTTTTACCTATGGCATTGCAAAAATAAATATAAATATTCCAGTCTGTGCTTAGCAGTCTACCACATACAGCAAACAGTCTTCACTGTCATATGAGAGAGCTTTTACTTTCAAGAGTAAGGACTTGAGGCTGACCTGGAGATGGCTGCTCTTTCTGTGGAATCCACGAGTTCAGAAGACAGTTTTAGAAAAAGTGATGTTTTGTTATTTAATCTCTGCTCCACTTCCACCCATACCCATAGTGTTCGTGCCAGCACCTGGTTTAGCCTCTCCCAGTCGGGTCAGCCACAGGCTAATGGGCTGTCCCAGGCCTCCAAATTGCCTCCATTGCCCACTCACATGACTTCTCCATGCTGGCTTTGCTTCAGATCATTCATTTGACTGCTGAGCTCTTTGCTGCCTCCTTTGGCAAAGCAAAAGCCGAACTCTGGGAAGCAATAAAGGAACTAATCTCTGCAAGACCAAGAATGTTTCAACTTGGCTACTCACATATTTTTCCTGCTCCGGCAGGGGGATTGGACTAGATGATCTTTTGAGGTCCCTTCCAATCCCTAACGTTCTGTGATTCTGTGATATTTTCTGTGACCTTCTGAACTGGCAAGAGAAGACAGTGATTGTACTGATGGCTGCAGCAGTGAGGAGGGTGGAGGAGCCTGGAGCAGAATAGGTCTTTGTTTAAAGCTAACATAGGTCATTTTTCTCACCTTGGTACATTTGATTGCCACACTTATTATTATATTATTATTATTGAGAGCAGAGATATTCTTCTTGACTAGAATGCCTCAGAAACTAGTAGACACTATCTTAGATGAAAACTAAGAATAGGACCTGATGTGGGCTTGGAAATTTAAGTCGACTGATTCTTAAGGCAGGGGTGCATGAGGGCTCTCAGTGTGTCAGCAGACAGATTCAGACCTCTTCAGCAGTGTGACATTGAGGATAGGTGGAGCTGCAACAAAGCCAAAACAAATTTGGGTTTAGAGGAATCTAAAAAGTGAGCCCTTCAAAAAAATCCCTGTACTGTTGATGCATGAAATGAGTGTGAAGGTGCTAGACCAGGAGACAGAATGGCACAAAAATAAAAGAATAGCTGCAGTAAAGCAGACCTTTTCCTGCTCTTGTCCTCTTAAAAAAAAATCTATACACAAAATAATCAAAACAATATAATATATAGTTTGTTTTGTAAAACTGGGTTAACAGTTAACATGTTAACGTGCTTGAATTCTCTTTCACACTTGACCACTTCTCTTTATCCCACAGCAATGCTGTCCCAGGCACTATGGCTTGGGGACCCAAGGGTTTCCACTCCCCTGCCCACCAGAGCGAATGCAGGATGGGTCTCCTGTCTCAGAGCAATTCCCTTTTGCGGGTCTGGCCAGGGGCCACACAGGGCCACACAGGGAGATACACACACACACACTAGAGTGGTAGGAACAGGATTCATCACACAGGGACTAGGAACAGGAGTTAAGGCGGCGGCAGGACAGAGGGCAGTGATAGGCACAGGGTGCAGCTGCGCGAGGGTGCTTACATACACACAACCCCTTTTGCCTTCTCTCTGTTTTCCCTTGCTTATTCTTTCCCCTCTCCACCTTTACCCCTCTGTTTCTCCACCCTCGCCTCCCCATCCCTTTACAGATAAACAACCTAATTACTTCATTACCTTTCCTTCATGGGCTTCAGTTTTGTTACAGCCAGACCCAAATGTGAAACCTCTGATGCTGCCACTTGGATCACCTCAGCCATACATGGTATTAACAGGGCTACCTTGGTACTTACAGCTTTGTAAGCTTTTCTTTCCAAAAGGTCTGCACCAGAGTTTGGTCTTCCCTCACGCAACTCCCTATGAACCGCCTGACACAGCCAGGCTGTATGGTGCACTTCACAACACCTGGCAGCTGCTCACTCTTGCTCTCTGCAGCATTTTTCCCTCTGGTGACCAGCAGTTCCTCAGGATCTGTGCAGGGATCTCTGCCTCAGGCCAGGGCTGCCAGCCCTGTGCCTGCAGATACTCGTACTCACCACTTCAGTTTACAGCCATAACTGGTTGATTGAATAATTCAGAGATGAGGGAATCTACTTTTCTGAGGCATCTTTTTTCAGGTTTTACACTTTTTTTTCCCTGTGGTCCTTGTCATACCTGCATATTTGCTAATTCTGAAGTCTGGGAAGAACTGTACTGAAATATGACTTGTAAGTGCAAGCAAACTTACAATGTATCCCTAGCTAAGTTAAATGCCTCTAAGAATAGGATCTAGATTTTTTTTTCTTACTATATTGGTGTGATTTTGAGGGTAACAAGAGTTATAAATGTACTAAATGGGCTCATTGTCCTAAACATTTTTATAACATTGCTGAATTACTCATACACGTTCTTCACAGCTTTCAGGCACAATGCTGGTGCACACAAAGGTGTGTGATGGCTGCTTTTTGAAGAAGGGAGTATTTTCTTCCAGGTGGCCTGAGGGTTCCTTACAGCTTCCCCTAAAGCACTGAAATTGGCTGTGCCCCTCCATTTGCATGTCTGCGCTACATTCCATAATCATCTTAGCATATACACCTGCACTTCACCACATTAACACAAAACATGAGAAACTACAATGCCTGTGTGCTACTTCTCCAGGCTTTTCTCTAGGAAAACTGGCTTGCAGTCTCAAATAACTTCATATTTTTTGTTTTGGTATCTTCTATTAATGGATTTGCAATTGCATATAGTTGTATATACAAAGTCTTTTTTAGGCCAATTAATTCTACTGTTTTTCAAGCCTCTATGGACCAAAAGTGAAAAAAAAAAAAGGAATCCTCCTTTCTAAAATCTCATCTTGCTATAACTGTTCCTTTCAACCTAAACTGTTTTGCAGACATTTTAAAATAATCCAAGGAATCAGCTGTTGTTCAAGGTTTCTTCCAGAGATGTTTGTAATCACATTCATCATCTTAGCATGCTGACTAGTTATTTAAAACATAAGTGCTTAGGATAATCTCTTTACTCACACATATTGGTTCTGATCTAGAAAAAAAATAAGAATCATAAAAAAAATCTTCTATAATCTTCAACTGTGATGGATTACAGATTTTAATAAATGCGTGTCAGTTCCTCTTGCAGACAAAGGCCATATTCTAATTAATTTTTTTCTTGTAATCCAAGCTACAGACTCAAAAGACATAGAGCCTGCCTTTTCAAACTGGGTCAAGTGTTGGAAAGATGTTATGTATCTCCTGCAAGAAGTAGGATATTAATAAACAATGTCAGTTTTGTTTTTTTTTTTTACAAAGCTCTAAGTCATGTGTGCCAAAAAAAAACTTGCTTAGTGAACTTCCTCCTAAGAAACCATGGGTGAATAGACAGAGGTTTTTTTAAAAAAAGAAAACTTAAGTAATTTACTAACAACACTAACATTTTAGTGACTGTGGTGTGAGATTTAATACCTATGGAAAAGCTTCACAAAAATCAGCAATAAATGATGAAGTCATACAAACTCTCAGCTGTCAGTACAACAGCTTATTAAACACCTTAGTACGGACTTTGAAAATCAATTGCCTAAGCAATGCTTTATCACAATGCTTTACCTGGCACTGTTCATCGCAAAGTCCTAGGAGAAAGCGTGCCATTTCAGACCGGTTGAAATTTTCTGTGGTAAATGCTAACTTAAAGATGAGTTTAGCAAAGTTAAACTCATTTCTCTAATTGTTCCAAAGCATAAGCAGAACAGGGTTGGGGAAGAGAGAAGCAATATTGTCTTGTTGGGGTTAAAAACAGAAACAGGGATCCAACTGCTACCCTAACTCCAAGGCGTGCTCAGTTACAGTCTTCATTTTCACTACTTTCTGCAGCAAGGCTGAGGTCTGACCACCTGTTTCTGTTTCACTGGTTTGCTCATGGGTGGATTAGGGACTCTCAAAGGGACAAGAGGACAGACATCTCACTTGGGAGATGTGGCCACATTACCTCTGTCTCCTCTCTGTTTCCAAAGTGCATTCTTTCCTTTCAGAGCCAAAAAAAAGTGGGGAAAAAACCAAAACACTTCTGGCTTATGGAATTAATCCCCTTGTTTCAGTAAAGTCACAACGTGTACACTGTAATTTTGTCAGAGTGTATTTGAGATGGTCTCATGTGCCTTGATAAATTCTGCTGGACACTCAAAGCTAAATTTCTTTTTTTCTCCCCTTCCTCCTGTTAGTTTTCCAGCCTAATCACAACCATTGTACCCTGGATTTTTTTCCCTTAAACAGCTATTGTAATATGAGCTTATGCCCTTTGCCCAGCAGTCACACTTGTGTGTTCTAGTCCCTGAAAGGGATGTAACTCTCATCTGTAGGAATATCCAGGACAGAGTGTGAAACACTGAGGCAAGGAAGGCAGTCTGAGTGCAATGGGCTCAAGTACCTCCATCTCAGAAAGAAACAGATCTTATCTGTCATGGAGAGCTGGCACTAGAATAAATTCCAAAATGAAAAAATAAGAGACACACAGTGAGAAACACTCTGTTCCTTGCAGCCCAATGTGAACAAACAGCTTAAGAGCCTTTCAGCCCAGGCAGCAACAGCAGAAACCGAACCACATTTCAGCCGAGCAAGGCCCTCAAGCTGAGACAGGGAGTGAGACACCAAGTTTTCATTTCTGCCCAGGGCCCAGGGAGACATTATGCATCTGCTGCTCTGCAGCTTTCCACGTGAGCAGTTGCCTTTGTGCCCAAGCAGAAAATGTGCTAAAAAAACCTGTATTTCTTAAGATTATAGCTGAAGACGGTGTCTAGATACAGATATATAGAGAGAGATATATGTAGAGGTATACAAATATACTGATGGGTGTTAGATGTGGATACTTAAACAATCCTTGAAGTCTTCTTTTGTGAGTCTCACAAGAAGGACGGACAAGTATTTCATGTACATAGAGAAGTCCATGTGTAGACACCCTTTTGATATAACCATCTGTGTAAAAAAACAAATCCTGTTCATATACATCTTATTAGACTGTAAAGATGACATGACAACAAAACAGGATTTCAGGTTTATTTTTCAAGCAACCTTGTGTATAAGATACAA